TTTGCAAAAATTATTAAAAGTCGGCAAAGAATCATATTGGAAATTTGCATCAAATGCACGGAATATTTTAAGAGATAAAGGTTTAGATGATGTCATTTTTCGGAATGACAGGGAATGGTACCCCTCATTTCTAACTATATCTCAATCCCAAAGTATATATAATTTCCACACTAGGGTAGCCGAACACCCCTCCCTTGAAATATATAAGGAGGTTAAACCCCATAACCGCACCGAAAGGTACCTTAAGAATGACCTTGATTTTTATGGATCTAAAATGAAATTTCTAGCAAGATCGAATAATTTCTGCCTTGAGACAAATTATGAAAAGTGGGGCAAAAGTGATGGTATATGTATAATATGTAATCTTAATTTGAGAGATACTCTATCACACAGATTAATGGTGTGTCCCCATTTTGCCAAAGCCAGGTCCAACTTTTACAACGATGTAGAGAAATATGTTTCTCCCATTTTAAGTAGCAGTTTATTGTCTTCGAACATTCATGATATTACCCTTCTAGGTGATAAGGTTTTAATGGAATGGGGGCATGACATTTTTTATATGTTTGACAAATATGTGAAGATGTTTTTAGCAACACTTTTTAACCCTAGAAAACTGTAGTATTTATGTAAACATTTTTAGTGCTTATAAAATATATATGTAGATTACAAATACTGACGCACCTAATAATTGTGTGCCGCTGTTAAAAAAGCGTATGTCAAAATAAATAAATAAAAATAAATAAATATAGCTATTTGAGGAAGTTTCAGGTATAGACATTTATATTCGAGAATGGGGTGGGGGGTTCATTTGTGCCTGGATGGCGGTGAAGAATTATCAATATGGTACAATTTTTATGTTATTATTTTAGCTTAAATAGTCAAATTATTTTCTAAAGCTTAAAAACATTCAATAAATATGTCATTGGGTCATAATGTTATTTTTACTTCATGTCAACATTCAGAAAATGTTGAAATTGACCCTTGAAAATACCTGAATTATTTACTTTTACATACCTGTTAATTACCCATGCCAAAAATGAAGATGATCAAATAAATACTTCTTTAGTTATAGGCATTTGTCATGGTACCCCCAAGAAATTGTCTTCAAGGGGGGTAAAACTCAAAAATGACAACTTTCGCACCAGAAATTGATGTTAGACTGAGTGGATTCTAATGTAGGATGATGATATGGTTATATTTAAGCAATAAAATTATCCCCAGCTCCCAACCCCGACCAATCTTGCTGTGCAGCCCACTATTAGGCCATTTTATTCAGACTGAAGTCACACATACACCACCAAATGGTTTTTAGGGAAAACATTCAAATTGCCATAGCTGGTGAGGTTAGGTGTGACTTTAATGGCAAAAACTTTTGCACTTTTTCTACTTAGGATATGTAACTTCATAGTCTTTCCAATGATGCATAACACTGATGATAGAGGAATTCAGTCTCAAATAATGTGGGACAGACAAAGTCTGTACTAATTTAAGTATGTAATTGCCAAAGGGGTTATTCAAAAACAGTTCAAGAAATGGGTACTTGATTTTTGTACCATACTCCAAGTAATCAATTTTTAGATTAAATTAGGATGAAAACAATGAAATTGATATAGTGTAAAACATGTAGATGTAATTAAAATGTATATAAATATTAATTCAATATCTCACCTGGTGCTATCCAAAATGCTTTTAAGTCTGTCACTTGAAAATTGCGCAGTAAAACTACCTTTTGAATTGTGTGCCTCTTTTATAGATCCATTTACATGTACAGGGTGTGCAAAAATATGCAAGTCACCTATGATGTAACATATCTGGATCTAATATATGTCTTTAGTCATCAGCCTCCAAATTTTGAGCCAAATCTGACAAATGGTACTTGAGTGATCAAAGATTACTTTTTAACATGAAATGGATGCCAATTTTGAACCAAGTTGCAAGATGGGAATTCCCTTCTCCAGCAAAAGTCCCAAAAGGCACCAACCTATTTGAACTAAATCAATCAATCAATCAGTGTTTGTGTTATCATCTGGACATAGCAGATATACATATGGATAGATGAAAAGACAGCTTTTGAGTACAACATTAACTCACATAGGGCATATGCATATAAAAAATATAAACAATATCGGTATTGACATGGATTTTTACTATGTAGGAACCTGAAATTATTTGTAAGGCTAGGAAATGGGTGAAAAGTGAATTTCGCAAGACAAAATGGTGGCCATTTTGAAAATAGACGAGCCTTTGAACCAGGAGTCATAGGGGAGTTTTCTGTATTGATGTTGAACAGAAATAACTTAAAACAAGAATCCTATCAACAGAGGTTTTAAAACGTGCCTCTATTTTTGACGGATGAATGGACAGACGGACAAGTGAGTGATTGCAAAAGCTCACCTTGTGAGCTAATGAAGGACCCACGGTCCTATGCTCACACAGTTTGGAACCTTCAGAGGAATTTATATCCTGACTTTCAAACAAAAATATTGATTTTGATTTGTAGTCTCAAACTTTGAGAAACTTAGATAGCATAGTTGTGTGACCTAGTTTGATGACCTTTGACCTTGAAAATTTTACTTATTCAGAGCTCAGTAAGGTCTTTTGTGATTAAGCTGACCAAAATTTACATCCAAAAATCAATTTGAAAAATCAACTTTTTTGACCTTTCAAAGGTCACTGAAGATGATTTTCAAAAAAAAACTTGGTCAAATTGAAGCAAGTTGAAAAATAACTTATTTTTACTGTTTTTTGACGTCAAATATCTCAAAAACGGTAAAAATTTGATGCTGACATGTATTCAGAAATAAGTAGGGAATGCTTAAATCTATTAATGATGTTATTTATTGCAGGAAATGATCAAGTATAAGGCAAACTTTAAGAATCTTGTCAATCACAAAACCTGCCATTGACTTTATACATGAGAAAGTTTCCTGAAAATGACTTAAGTCCTACTTTTTTCAAATTTTATAGAGCAAACACCAAAAACCGTAATTCCAAGAGCTTTGAAATCTTCAGAGGACATAAGTTGCATATACACCAACTACTAAAAGTTATTTGAAAGTTCTACTTCAACAAAGTGTCTAGTATTTACAGAAAATTTTACTTTTTGACGTCAAAATCCGCAATTTCTCGGAAACCGGGCGAACTTGGGAAATGGCGATGATAGGTCAAATAGGCATTATGGATATGCATAAAATGAATGTGGAAATGACTCAATCCGAATAGCAGTTTTAATTTGTGCGGCCAATGTTGACGGACCAACGGACGGACGGACGGACGGACCAACGGACGGACGGACCAACGGACGGACGGACGGACGCCTGGTCAATCCCATAGGCTCACTGTGTGAGCCAAAAATGGCAACCTACTACCCAAGTTGTCATTAGACATTGTGCAAGGATTATGAGTATTGACATAACAAATATGAACAAAATCGCTCAACTACTTTTGAAGTTACAGCAAAAATCTTAAATAATTTTTTCAAAAATTATTGCAGAGCAATAAAAAAAAACATATAAAATATAACATACATTATCTAAATTGTCTAGATGGAATGAGTGTAGAAGCAATAAGTTGATTTTAATTTTGTTAAGCTGCATTCTGTGAACATGTTAACCAGATGTAATACTAACTAATAGAATGCTTGTCAAATTACTGTCAAGATCACCCTGTATGTACTGCTTGATATTGATAAGAAAAGAATATTTTAGGCAATTTGAAAAGATGGAATAGAAATTTTCAATTGAAATTGTAGGTGAATAACATTAATTAATGATCCTTCCTCTGCCAATGATATTGCAGTTTTTAATCTTCCTTGTTTAAAATCTATTTTTGGCTGCACATGAGGTTTCTTTTGAAAAATAATGAGCATTGAAGTGAATAGAGATAACTACAAGAAGGTGAAAAGTAAAAGGTAAAAACATTTAATATGAGTGAATGTCTGACAGTATATTACATTGACCTGTAAATGTCATAAAATGTAAAAAATATTGCGATTTTGAGCTTTCAGAATTGTTATTACTGATTCAATGGGACAGTTGTACTTGAATAAATTTTCATTTATACAAATCAAATAGCTACATGGACAATCACAGCAGTTATACTATTTTCACAAATTTGAAATTCCACTTGTGATCCAAATCATTTTCTCATATAGGCTTTGATAAATATTTAGTAATAACCATTTTGGAATAAAGTAGATGATTTCTAGTTAAATCTGTTTATGATTAATATACCTTATAGAAAACAGTAGTTCAAGTGAGACAGGATGCTCTTAGTAATAGGCCTTATAGTAGTTTTTATCCAGCAAGTATAATATCATGTAAAATAATAAAATAATGAACTGAGACTGTCATCTGGTGTTGAAAACAAAATGAATCAGAAGATAAATTATCGCTTTTGATATTGGGTTAGTTATCATTGAAATCTGTCAAAAGGTATGCTGATTTCATTTCAACTTTAGTAGTTAGCTCGCTTTCATACAGTTAAATAGTAAAAAAACATCCAATCACTGAAATACAGCAATATTATCATTATCACTTTTTGTACCCCCTTAAGGTTTAGGGAGAGATTTAGGGAGAAAATAGTCAAAACAACTGCTGTCTCGTTATACACTATTACTTAATCAGAGTACATAGCATTTACTACCAATTGTCCATATGCATTTTAGGTAGTTTTCAATTGTCAAATTGGACTTTTCAATAGAACAACTGAATAAATAGTCACGAAGGTTAACAATTAAAGAGCTTGCATTTTCACTTTCACCTCTTTAAATGAGTATACCCCAGCAGCCAATTCAGGTTCAAGTGTGTCAGGCCATGCAGACCAAGACATGCAATACCAAGTTTTACTGCACTTGGGTTCTTTACTATATAATCCTGTGACACTACCCTGATGGCCAGCACAAGATGATGAATACCACCAAGGTCCATAGTTAAAACAATTACCAATATTCTTATCACTGGTAACAAATACCATATGGTTTGAAAAGCTCATTGAGTCACCTGCAGTACTACTCTCTGTGTATCCACCTATTTCCAATCTGTATCTGTCAGCCTCATCACTGATATCAAACTCCTCATATTCAGCATATCTTGTTTCATTGGCCCAGCTTGTCAACTCAAATCGAACTTTATATCTCTTTTGTTTCAGCACAGACACAAGGTTGTCCATTCCTATAAAGTGTTCCCCTAATACACTGCCAAATCCATTCTTGTAAGCATACCAAGTACCGACAGGTTGTCCAAAGTTAACACTTCCATCAAATCTGTGCATCAATATAAGCCAACCATCTTCACACATAGCAAGGAATGGGTGGTTGTCTTTTGCTTGTAATATAACAAGGGAATCAAGCCCTGTACAATCAGCAGAGCAGGGGGTTCCCCCGGAAATATCTGAAAAGATTGTAAAATCATATACAAACAATTAATCAATCCTTGTAGTGAAAGCATCCTTGGAAGCAAGATAATTGTATTTGATGTACATAACTATTTCACTCCCAGTTGTATGATGAAAATTAAATTCTTACCACAAATGTTTCCATCTTCAGGTTTAGAAGTTGTTTTGTTGCCAGTCACATCCTCCACGACTGTTGTTTTATGAAAACACATGAAATTGTGGTTAGTAAGGAAGGCAATGTAAAAATGTTTCAATAACATGATAAAAAATATCACTGCAATTTACCACTGTATAAAATTTTGTAACAATTACAGCCACCTAATACAGATTCCAAATGCATTTCAAAAACAAAATTTGACTTTGGTAGGCTCCCATAGTAATTCCTAAAGCTAATTCCTTCTATTGCAAAATGCAAAAGTGGGTATAAAATCGACATCAAATTAAATGAATTGGACTAATCTAAAAGCTTAGGTCAAATTTCAAGGAAAACTATAATTGAAATAACTCTTCATGAAATAAATGTGTGAGCAACACTCACAGTACTAGACAATTTTATTAACCAACCAGAGACGAATGTAAGCCAGGAAAGTGGAAACTAACACTGACACTTCTCAACATCAACTGCTCCATCTATTTTGATTTAAAGAGATTCACATATTGTGAAAAAATGTGATATTTTGATGACAAAAAGCTGAAAGATGAGAGAAGAGTCGTTCTAGGGGTATTCCAAATTACAATAGTAACCAGAAGAAAATATTTTTTCTTGCACATTGTATAAAAGTATTTTTACCACTGTTTTCCTTACCTTCTTGGTTAGAAGCTACTTTGTCACATAATACATCTTTCAGAGCTGCTGTCTTATCTAAAATCATATGAATGGATCAAACAAGCTTTAAAGACCAGTTTGTTATGACCACTATTAGGAAAAACCACACAGCACCACACCACACAGCAGTAACAATCAACTCGAAATATTATACATTTTGTAAGACTACCACAGACCACGCAGCCAAATGAAATATGCAAACAAACAACATTTCAAAATTTGAGATGTTACCTTGAAAATTTCCTCCGATGGCCAATCCAATGATGAGGCATAGAACCAACAGGATAATGCAAGCTTCACCTGATATGATGATCTTCCACTTGTATTTCATAAAAAATGATTCCTTCTCTGGCTGTTTAGGTAGGTTCACAAATGTAGCATTGTTACTTGCTGCTGGCTTCCTTTCACTTAAAGCTTCATAGTTCTCTGTATTCGAACCTTCAGATCTAGCCTTACTAGCTTTTTTCTGAGTATGATCTTCTTCGAAATTGAGGTAATGCTCATCATCAGGGGTTGGTGGAAGAGGTGTATTTGGCTTTTTAGGCAATGCAGACATTGTATTGCTGATATGGACTGTCAGGAAATCTTTAATCAGACAACAGAAGTTTAACAAGGCATTAACATGACAAAATGTCACCACCTAGTTGCTCACAATATTATGAGTTCAAACTTAAGTCAGATTTGAATTTCTGAGAACTTGTAAAGTCAAATTTGAACTTCTGAAAAGATGTAGATGATTTTGAAAAAAAAATTTGGTCAATTTGAAGCAAGTTGAAAACAGACCTTTTTGACCTTTTTTGACCTTGAGAAGGTCATTGAAGGTCAAATGTCAAATCTAAAGTCAGATTTGAATTTCTGAGAACATGTAGATGATTTTGAAAAAAAAATTTAGTCAATTTGAAGCAAGTTGAAAAAAGACCTTTTTGACCTTTTTTGACTTTGAGAAGGTCATTGAAGGTCAAATGTCAAATCTAAAGTCAAATCTAAAGTCAGATTTGAATTTCTGAGAACACGTAGATGATTTTGAAAAAAAAATTTTAATCAATTTGGAGCAAGTTGAAAACAGACCTTTTTTACCTTTTTTGACCTTGAGAAGGTCAATAAAGGTCAAATGTCAAATCTAAAGTCAGATTTGAATTTCTGAGAACATGTAGATGATTTTGAAAAAAAAATTTAGTCAATTTGAAGCAAGTTGAAAAAAGACCTTTTTGACCTTTTTTGACTTTGAGAAGGTCATTGAAGGTCAAATGTCAAATCTTAAGTCAAATCTAAAGTCAGATTTGAATTTCTGAGAACACGTAGATGATTTTGAAAAAAAAATTAGTCAATTTGAAGCAAGTTGAAAACAGACCTTTTTGACCTTTTTTGACCTTGAGAAGGTCATTGAAGGTCAAATGTCAAATCTAAAGTCAGATTTGAAGGTCAAATGTCAAATGTCAAGTCAGATTTGAATTTCTGAGAACATGTAGATGATTTTGAAAAAAAATTTAGTCAATGTGAAGCAAGTTGAAAAAAGACCTTTTTGACCTTGAGAAGGTCATTGAAGGTCAAATGTCAAATCTAAAGTCAGATTTGAACTTCTGAGAACATGTAGATGATTTAGAAAAAAATTGAAGTCAGTCTAAACAGTATTTGTTAAGTTATAGGAAGTTGTAAGAAATTGTTACAGACGCCGGACGCCAACCGCCGGACGCCAACCGCCGGACGCCAACCGCCGGACGCCAACCGCCGGACGCCAACCACCAACCGCCGTCGCAAAAAAACAGAGACCATAACAATATGTCACCACTTTTGGTGGTGACATAAAAATATAATAATGTAAGCACAAGAGCCAAAAGTTAAAGGATGCAAATAAAATTATAGAGGAGTGTAATCTGAGTCATAAGGAAAACGCATCCAAAATATTTCAAAATATGATCTTATGCATTCTTAGGCGATCTTTATGACATCCATTTTCAGGTTATGCTGATGATATTTTGCATTTTCATGTGACTACAATAATGCATAACAACACTAATGATTGAAAGAGTATTTAGTTTCAAATAATGATAAAAAAAAAAATCCAGTCTCAGAAAAACAGAGACAAGGAAATATTTGTACCATAAAAACAAAGGAGAATTGATATAAATAAATGCAATTGAAATGTCAATAACAAAAATAGTTTAATGTCTCACCTATTACAATTCAAAATGATTTTTACTCAGTCACTTTGAAACTGCGCAGTATATAACTTCCTCGTTTATTTGGTGCCTCTTGTGTGCAAATACCTTCTCTACGAAACAACATATCTAATACATTTATGTATAGGGTGAGCAACTAAATGCGTTCAACATGTGAATCTTTGGCATATATGTACTTTTGGTATATACTTCGTGATATATATATACTTGGTATATAGAGATTATCCTATATGAGGTTCAGGATATTGGGATTATCCCGAGGCTAATATAATATATTTGCCCGAGGGCCGCAGGTCCCGAGGGAAAATATATTATATTGGCCAAGGGATAATCCCAATATCCTGACCCGACTATAGGATAATATGTTTATCCCATACCAATCTTGGTCATCTGGTTCACATTTTTCAATCGTGGAAATATTTTAGAATATTCATGTCCAGTTTTGTTTTCTTGGCCGTGGGTTTATTTTCCTGTTCTCTCAAATATTCCCACATTTATTTTCTCGAATTTTTGATTGATTACGTGGATGCTCCTTCCCTTTTTAAGCCATCAAACAGATCCCGATTATCTGTGTTTTCGCCATTGTCATTTACAGTCATTACGCGAACGTTACAAATTATGAACAAATATACGAGCGGCGATTATGACGTAGCGGGCAGATATACTATATCTGCCCACTCGGAGCGGGACGTAAAGCTATATCTGCCCGCTGATGAAAATATAAGTTTTTACAAACTGGCTTTATGTACCTGTAACACGTCCAAGTATGGGATAAAGAGTTTTATGTAATGAGATCAAAAGTGGGCCTAGCGTGAGAGAATCAAAATTATTGCTTGAAGTTACTGAGAAAAAATAGCTGAAGTCTCGGAAAATTCAACATTAAGAATGATTTAATGCTGATTCAAATACTTGGAGCGCTAATCATTTAACTGTACCACCCTGTACTGCTTGATTTTATAAGAAATAAAAGAATATTGTTTAGGCAATTTGAAAAGATTGAATTGAATGTTTTCAATAAAAGTGTTAGTAGTTGAAGGCTTTATGAATTGATGCTTGCTCTGTCATATTCAAAGTTCCTTGTTTAAATCTTCAAAAATACTTCAGGCTTATATGAACATTTTGTTAGGTTGCCTGATACGTTTTAAAATTCTAGCTATTACATTTCATTTTCATTTGACAAACATGCATTTTGAATCAAACAATAATGATTATTTCAAAGCAGCAAGATTTTCAATAAAGTCAGATCAATTTAACATAAAAAATAAGACCAATAGAAACGGTGAGCACATACCACTTGAAGGTTATAGTTGTTTTGATTTTGGAATGCCTAGTGAAGGGCAATATTTGTTTGCTATATCAATCATTTTGAAAGTTTTAACTTCCTTGTTCAAAACATTTAAGGCTACAGAAACATTTTGATCCAAAGTTGCCTTATATTTATTCATATTTTGAGACGGGATACAGAGAGTTTCATTGAACAAGCAATGTACTATGACTTGAAATAAAAGATCTATTTCAAAGTATCAAGAATTTCAATAGAGACAGAATTCACATTACAGAAATGCGAGAAATATGTCAATAAAAGAGTTATATGAAGAGATTTTTCTGAGCATATTCTTTTTAAAGGCTCACAAAATGCATATGAACTAAAAATTGTAACTTATCTTTATGAAAAGCAATTTTTGAAAATGTTAACAAATAAAAAGAGTTCTTTTAGGAATATGTCATAAAATTTGACAGTATCATTTTGCCACCAATCCTGCATGTATCTCTAGCTGCTTATACAGCACTTACCTGCACACCAATGATTCCCAATATGAACAAGAATTTAATGAGAGTCTAGCCATCAGAAAATTACAAACTCCTTCTTGGGGTTTCAAATTTCACATTTAATATATATTTTGTATTTCACATTCATATCTAAATCTACATAGACTAAAACAAAGACATAGTAAAACATTGGTGTAAGTGGAATGTTTCTGGTAGCTCAAAAGGCATTCCAAATTGGAGGTGTTCCACTTACAGAGGTTCATTTTAATGTATTTACTGGTCAAGAGTGTAACATTTACTTTGCATTAGATTTTACACTTTGTTACATACTATAGCTTGTCCCACATATTGCAACTGTGATTAAAGTTTCAGTATTACGCACTGGAAACAGTATCAATAATTAGATATTCTTTCCTAAATTCGAACACCAAATAAGTTTGGTATATTTTATGCAGAATTCCTTACTTACTGATAGACAGTAAATGTGTTTATAAACTTGAACGAATGTTTGAACACTTATAAAACGTATACACTTGGTATCGACAATTTGATAGCCCTTCATGAAAAGGTCGAATTCTGCGCCAAATTCTGCATGAAATCCTGAATTCCGCGATAAATTCTGCAAGCAACAGCTTCATCTGAACTATCACGAAATTGAAGGGAATTCAAATTTCGTGACATATTAGATTTAATCTTTAAGTGCAAGAGCTGGAAGTTTGAGAAATCTAAACAGATTGATTTCACATTTCCCCCTTCGAAATCCTCATAACACCAGTTTCTGGTGACATATGGCTGTGATATACTTGAAACGGTATCAGTAATTTTATATTCTTTCCGGAATTTGAATGCTGAATGAATTTGGTGTTTGTGATATAGAATTCCTGAATAAGACCTTTGCCAAGTGAACCTCATTGTTCAAGGTTAATTTACTGCGAGACCGTTATGAACGTGTTCATGCATAAATATCTCTCGTTCATGCTCAATAGCTTTTGACATGTGTACTTGTATTGGCCATGTTTCTTTATAATTAGAGAAAACCATGTCGAAAACGGAGGTATACTGTAGAAGGGATAAATCCCTCGATGATAGTCTGTTGGACCAACCTGATGAGTTGGTCTTCCGAGAAGCCCAAAAAGTCGAAGGACATGGGATTAGAATCTCTTTCTTGGGCTATAACATCATCTATTTCTACTGGACTAAGTGCCATAAAAGACACAATATCACGGATTATGGCTTCATCAGTAAAAGATCTGCAGAAGTGCATTCAGAGTGGTCTTTATGAGGATGACGAATACAACGACCAAGGAGAACGGATGTGGTCTATAATTGTTGTAACTAATGTCGCTTTTGTAAGATAAAGAAAATCTTAAAATGAAAAAGAGGTCAGCACTTTCTTAAACAGTCATATAAAAAGAAAGTGTCAAAACAAAAGAATTAAATGTGAAATATTGACAAAATCACTGAAAATATGACCTTTGACTTAAAGGGAGAACAAACACTGAAGAGGAGATCACAGACTTTAATTACATTTTCTGAGCTATCAGATCCTCCATTTAGAGTTAGATAACGTCATGTGACATGTATTTTGTTAAAATATATGGAAATCTCCACATTTATCTTTGTTTGTTATTAAAATCAAGTGTGAAATTGAAAATTGAAAAAGCAGACTTCCTCTTTTTATCTTAGGATTCACTGCAGATGTGCAGAAAAGAGGTCATATAGAACTGCACTTACACTATATAAGGAAATATACCCTACATTGACTTTAAATGGCAGCTAGGATGTTCTGTGAGTGGCATATGGGAAAGTAGCCTGGCTGCTGTGAGTGCTAAGAGGGAAAATATTCTCCAGTGATTTCAAATGGCAAACTTAATGTTCTGTAGGTTATATGAGGGGAAATATTCAGTACCCTGCCATTGCACTATAAATTGGTATAAAGTAAAGTACAGTGTATCCTACCTTGCCTTGAGGAATAACCAAGCAGCAAGCTGTGTTTGAATCACTTTTCAAATCGTCTGATATGACACAGTCTTGCGATTCTTGTATTATGTTTGTTACATCTTTCAACTGAAAAAATAATGAAACGAAATGCAGACTACAATATGTCAAAACAATGTATGAGCTAAAATGAATTTATAAAAGTGGTTCATGGTGGAGTTACACTTCTTGCTAATAGTTTGAAAAGACAGTGTTTCTCAAATATGGTTCTGTCTGGGAAGTGTTGGGCATTCATCAATAAAATTGCCTTTAAATATTTACACAATGCATTTATACATGGTTTTTATTTATCTGATGACATTGTTGACGATACAAAACAAGGCATTAACATGCAAAATGTCACCACCTGGTATTTGTTACAGACACTGAATGCTGTACAACAACCGTCGAAACGCAATCCACAAAAAGTTCTTCTGGTGTCGACATAAAAACTAGAATACAAACTTTTTTCTTTCCATCTCAAAAATAAAATAACTTAAGTCATTTACCTTCCAGTTAAACCTTGTATCAGGTTTATCAGATCCATACTGAGACATTGCCTCTTGGTATGTTAGCCTTGGGAATTGTGAGGGGATTTTAGGAAAATCATCAGGCCAAACCTCAACTAACATCTCCTCTATAAGGGTCTGTATATCATTCCTGGTTGTAAAAGATAACTCTATGTCCAGCTAAAATAAGACAGAACCTTTCATGCATTATTGTTGCCTAGTTTGTGTGCCTCAAGAATGAAGCTTCATTTGAGCAAGGCAATAATAATATTTATACATGAAATCATTATCAACATAGCAAGAACATATAATACCTTATTCTATACATCGCTTTTTGTTTAACTTTCAATATAAAATGCATGATTAGAGAGGAATATTTTCACAAACAGTTTTCATATTGCAATCACAGATAAGGGAGATTGTTTATGTTTACCAGTCCTGTTTATGTTTACCAGTCCTGTTTATGTTTACCAGTCCTGTTTATGTTTACCAGTCCTGTTTATGTTTACCAGTCCTGTTTATGTTTACCAGTGCACACCTTCACTTCACTATAATACTTCTTATGACTGAGAACATGGGTTTCAAAAGTAAGCCTCTTGAAAGTCCATGCTGAGAAGAAAATTAACAAATATGTCAGGGGTTTTAATTTTCTTAGAAGGGGTCATGAATGAATGGCAACTTGCAAATTAAATTTCACTGATATATTTACATGTAAAATAAAGTTTACCTGTGTAAATTCAGGTTGCCTGTCTGGCTTAGCCCCCTCATCTCTATAACACCTAGCTATCTGCATGTATCTATCTATACCTCCCACCATCAGCAACTGCTTGAACTAAAAGAAAATGAATAAACTACTAAATATGAACAGGTCTGCCTCATTCTGGAAACAGATAATTTGCTCATTCCATCTAAGGATTATTTTCAGTATTTGAAAAGTATGTTTCTTTATTTGTTTTCAGAATATCTATAAAATCAAACAATAGCTTGGACTGGATGCATTACTGGTCTTGGTAATATTGACATGAATTGACGGGATTAGACTGTTTCATCCGGAATGTAAATTAAAATGTGATTTTTGAATAGGTTTGCATAAGTTAGTGTCATTTTGTAGATTATTTGTTGAGTATTATTTTCTTTTTCCTTATGTTGCCTCTTGTGCCTTTTCCATTATAGTCAGGTACTCAAGGTGACAGCCCCTACCTGCTGTGGGCTTTGTGGTAGAGAATAGAAGTGACCTTTGTGCTGACTGCTGGGTACTATAAACTCCTGTGCTCCCTAAAACATACAAGTAGAGACATCTATGTAGAAATTGAAACTATAAAAATAAAGAGTACTCTGAATATTTTAACTTACATGTAAAATGCAAAACAATCTCAAAGTCATATCACTAGAACTACTTAGGAAATTATAAATGTTTAAACATGCAGTTTCAACAGAAAAATAAATGAGACTTCATTTTCATTTCATTATCATTATTAACAAAGTCCTGTGGCTTCGGGAATAGTACATTTCAGAGGATATTCAAACGAGGAAATAATTTACACTATTGCCCTCAATGGCAGTTACTATTTGTATATTGTTCAGTATGAAGAAAATTTATGGTTTAAGATCACATGGTAAGCCTATGGAATCATCCACTTGTTTGTCTGTGGATTTGCCTATTGTCTGAACCAATACTCATATCCATTTATGGGTTCACACCATTATGGAGGTAAGACAAATATTGGTCCCACCTCCTACTTTGTCTTGTTTTGGAGAAATCCAAAATATATGGACTCAAAATGTGAGCCCACCAAATGATGTCTTTTTATTGAAAGGCTTACCCCAGGAGTTTTTCTAAATAATGTGGGTGTCTCTACATCGAGGAATCCTAAAATGAAAACAAAATTTTTAAGGGATATTCCTTATCCTCATACAGGTAACAACTGAAAAGCTACTTACAGCACATCATATTTTATGTTACATGTATCAACAATTTGACTTTTTGATGTCAAAATTGTTAATTTTCTCAATTTACTTGGAGGACTTAAAAATGGCAAGTCAAACAAATAGATACTTTGGATGGATAAGATGAATATGCAGGCCCGTAGCCAGGGGGGTTTGCAGGGTTCAGGCGAACCCCCCCCCTGGCCAAAAATTCTTTCAAAATCATGCAGTTTTTGACCATTTTGAGCACTTTTCTAGTGATTTTAGCCTAATTTGGGCCAAAATTGTCAAATGTGAAACCCCCCTGGAAATTTTTGAAAATTGAACCCCCCTTGGCAAATCCTGGCTACGGGCCTGATATGCATATGTATTAACATGAAGGCGCAACAATTAGTGCAGAGGGGCAATTCAATGATCACGGACCAGTTTCAAAATATATTAAAGGCAGAATCTGATCTATAAGGGGCGACAAAATTACAAGCAACATGTATAATTGACCTACCAATCTATTCCTTACAATATCAAATACAATATCTCCCAAAAGATTCACAAAATGTTGTAAATTGGTTAAGTTATTAATAATTCAAAGTGCAAAAATGAGTGAAAATGTTTAAAATCTCCCAAATAATAAGAATGGTAACCATTCTTATAGAAAAATAATACATTATTGTAAAAATCTTTAGTTTTCCTGGAATAATGTATGCACTTTTGTGATTTTTAGAAAATAGACATGAGCCAAAAATATTCTAAAATTGAAAGAATTTTTTGTTTAGCCTGCTCGCTATATCTGATTCTCTCTTTAAGTCTGGATGTTTCATCAAGACTAACATATGTTTTTATCATCTACAAAGAAACACCCTGGATGAACATTATTTCAGCTGATATTCCTCTTAAAACATGGTGAATCTATAAGTGGGTCTCCCTGAACTGAATTTACACTTCTTAAGGCTGAAATTGATAGTTTATCCATTCATTTTTCAATTTTCTCTCTACAATCCTTGTTGCCCCTTTAACTTTACACAAAAACCAGTTTAATATTCTTACATGTAATAAGCACACTCGAATGTCTAACGAATACACATCTTCTAATTTACCTACCATGTTTGTTACATAAGAATCCTCTGATGTCATTGATAAATTTAGAGCGAAGTCTTAGGTTTTTCTGCATTTGTTGATGCCTCAGATCTAGGTACCGATACTTCAGCCGTAGTGTCTCATTTACCTGTAATCAAATGTTACAATTAAAAAGATGCATCAACTCTTAAAGTCTGCCATAGAGTATACTGGCAAAATCAGCTTTTCCCTTGTATGTGCTGATGACTATACACACCCTGAACATATACATATACATGTACATGATAATAATCCTAGAGATTACTTTACTTGGAGCATGGGCATTCAAGGGAGCCCATGCTTAGAGGAAAATATACATGGGGAAAGATATGAATTTCTTAATCATTACTTGCGATACAACAATGGCATGTACTTCATAATCTGACTATTTAAACCTTTTTCTACACCATATATATAACAATGGCACCTCACATACTATATGAGTCTTGCTTGTCCTAAAAATGTTGTCGAACAAAAATTAAACACACTAAAACTGTTATAAGAATATAGATGGATGAATAAGTGTTAAATCATAATGAAAATGTACCTTTGTAAAGTCTCTTATTTCAAATGGTAGTCCCTGTTTACAGGAGTTGAGGACCTTCATGTCTTCAATCTCTACTTCAACATCTCCTGTTGCCATTGCCTAAAATGTTTACATCGTTACCCAATGTATCCATTTTTATTTCATGTAAGAGGTTGTAAATTGTTGGGAGTGAAAGTTACTGTATTACATGTTTATTATGTTAGGAAGATTTCCAATGTGTCTGTTGTTTATTGATTAATTTACCCATTCTTGTAAAGTGAATTATCTAGTGTCTGATACATTCAAATATTTAAAATTCAGTAGAATACATGTAGTCCTATAAACATCATACAGATACGGATACAAATAGACTAATATTGTTATGAACTTTGGATTGGGTTTTGGATATAATATTTGAGAATAAAGAATATCCAGAGGTGAATATAATATATATTTACCTGAAGGTGCAGAGTGACAAAACAGAAAAATAATTGATGTAATAAATAATTGTCAAATATTTTCTAAAAAGTGTAGAATGTGATTTTCAAACTATTTAGTGAATGAAATGGCCTGCATCCATTCATTCAACAAAATATCATTTTAACTAAAATCTTTGAAAATGGCATAATTAAATTGAGCAATGACTGAAGTTACCTTATTTTTCTGCTCTGTAGGCCTAGCCTTAACTGTGCCAACAACTTCCAATACTGTTTCATATGACAAGCTGCCAATTTTTTCAACCAATTCTGCATTCTGAAATGTAGAAATGATTATATTTTACTCGATAACAGTGATCCCAAGACATAGCAAATTCCATCTAACAGCCATGGCTGCCATTTTTATAAATGGCCGCCTATTTGGCAAATTGACACAAAAGACAGTGAAATATGGTTCGAAGTATTTACAGTTAAAATTTCAGCAATTGTTGCAGTATATGGTAATGTAGCTAGCCATCTCCTTCCAGTAACAATGTTACAGTATATAGCAGTATTACTCTGATATAGTTGAGGAACACATCATGTTGTAGCTATTGTCGCGACCCTCGTGTGGTAGCGTGGTTTGAGGGTCGTAAACAGAATACAGTCTAAGAGTCAATAATTTGATTTGATGTTTTCATTCACTTAGTTTCGGAACAAGTTCAAGTAAAAGTTGAAAAGTGTATCCCCTATTTAATTGAACAACATCTTTGTTCACAGTACCTAACAAAATGGGATAAAGTGGGGATAAATATATAGGGGATAAAATTGGGATAAATTTTACGATGAAAATTTACGGGATAATTTAGGGATAAATTCTGGGATAAAAATAATTGGGATGAAGTGGGACAATTTCGGGAAAACAGTTACGGGATAACAATATCTAAGTATAGGCTTAGTTAGATATCTCAGTGTTCAATGTAAATTTTATGTTTCATAAAAGCAAATGGCAACAAACTCAAGATTCTGAATATGCCCAGTGTTAAATTGCATCAAATAAGTATGAAGTTAGGGCGTGAGTATGACCAGGTGGAAGTCAAGTTGCAGCCACTTGAGGACTACAATGGGCTTCAAGTTGTCATTTTTCACAGTTAAAGAAGGAAAATTTGTAATGCTTAAAGTAGGGCTTTTTCAAATCAGGAGTCTGTCAAACACATCAGGGGATAATATTACTAATTCACCATTTGAACACACAAATAACAAAACAGTGGAAGTAAATGGATTTTTATATAATGTATAAAAACAACTCTATTTCTATTACTAATCTATGCGAACATTACACAATTTAGTACAGTCAAATGGTATATCAAGTACACAAATGCACAAAACAACAAAGTAGGTGGAAGTTCAGTAAATCAATTTGCAATAAAGCCCAAAATGTGTTTCTTTCCAAAATATAATTCAACAGTTCAGTTATGTATGATCTCTAGTGGGATTGAAATCACCGTTCTATACTACTCACATGAAAAGTAGAACGTAGTACTCCCCTCAATTAGCAAACAAAAGGGTAAGGTATTAAGTATTCGTGCATAAAATCTGTCTATAATCGAAGAACTATATAGAATATAGTTAACATAGATATTGACCAGATATGAAAACTAAATGGGGGGGGGTAGATGGTAAACACTGACTAGAACCCCATACAAGCAAGTGCCAGGCTAGAAGACCCTAAATGGAATCTATACCAACTCAAGCTATGTAGTCAGGGGGTGGTCATAGTGTCTAGACAGCATCATAAAATAGGTTTAAAGCCTTATGAAATGGCTTCAGTACTGACCTTGACTCTGCAAGTACTGGGTGCAGAATCAGTGATCAGCTGTTTGATTATGGTCAGAAAGAAAGCTCGGGGGATCTACCTTTTAAAATACCCAGGCATGGACATACACATGCAAAGATACAAAAGTGTGTTTTCTAATGGGTCAATAAAAGTTACTTTGGCGAATAAAATTAATACAGTCTTAAGTTGAATGTAGGGGGGGTCATAAAGATTATTCAATGGAACCCCAGGAATATTGACGCTGGTTTAAAATAAGTTACATCGGTTCCTAAAGACCATAACTTTACGTACACCTTGTCAAATGTTCCATAACAATTCCCAGGACCTCTCGAATTTACAATTGTTCAAAAACGTCCTCTCTCAATTTCAGGTTTATAAATCAAAACAGATATATAATATGAGAAATCATTCCAAGTTAAAGGATCTAGAATAGTGAATGATGTATCTATTATAAGCAACAATATAGAGTAAGGCCAGACGTGTAAAACTGACTAGAAATAAATACAATAACATGTATTAGGGAGGGGTTGTAGTTAATAGTCTAAATAGTAACGGGAAGCCCAAAGAAGCCAAATGGGCTTGAAATGGCTTGCCGTGACCTTTAGGGGGGGGGGGAAGTTGTGGTAAATATATGGGAAGCTCCCATAAGCCAGTTGAAGCCAAATGAGCTTGAAATGGCTTGCCATGACCTTTGAGGCTTGTCGGCACACAGTGACCCCTGTTCTTATTGAAGTTTCTCCAACCAAACTGGCGGTGAAAAATCACAGAAACAGGTCCTGGGATTTAAATTAGGGAGTGGGTGATAAAGCCCAATTACAGACAATTGTCTGAGAAGGAGCTTTACTGTCTAAGCGGGGGTTATTGCCAGTATGGAATAAGACTGAATCAGTTCAAAGTTCAAGCTGATCCAAAAGACGCTAGAAACTTTATATAATCCAAATCAACAGTAGTCCTTTAGCAATAAATCCCCTTAACAGTTTTAAATTAGTGTTTATACATGTTATACCCTTTAATTGAGATAAAAACAAAAGAAACTCCAGTGGTTAATTAAAGTCAAAAACCTGTCAAAATTACAATAAAATCAATTCAATTACCTTCCCCAACTTGTTCACCTAAGTTGGTATATCTGTGTTTATATAAATATCCAGTTTTGAGTTGCGTTTTTGAATGTTATAATTCCAAAAAGTTATACACGTCCGGCCCGTTTCAATGCAATGGAGAGAGTCCCCAGACAAGACAGAATCACTGATTTAAAACAGCTGATTTCCAGCCTAGCCTCGTTTTGGATAAAAGTAAACAAACCCAGTGAACTTTGGCTATCCCTTGAATGAAAGTTTACAGCACAGTTACTAACATGAAACTGACCAGTTTTATAACAAAACTTATAAGCTGTCATAACTCTACACAATTATGGCATAATATATACAAATATAAACTTTATAGTTACATGATAAAAACAAGTGAGGACCCCAATTTAATAGATCTTGAATGAATAACATTGACACTCTCAATTTTAGTCCAGGGCAGCTGCCTGTCTATATCAACAACCCTTTTGCAAAATCTTAAAGAGTTCTACATGTATTAAATACAACATAAATTAGAGTAACTACAAAAAGTAAGTAAGTGCAAAAGTGAAACAAAGTAACAATCATTCAAGGCAATTCCATTACCATGCTCAAAGTAATCTGAAGGATCGTCACACTGCTCCCCCTTTTAAAAACAGTTCGTCCTCGAACTCTGAAAATACAAAGTCATATAACACCTCACTTAAAATAATCATTCAGACATAATTTACTAGCAACATTGTTCTGAGTAAAGTAGTCGATAGACATACATACACAATAATATATAATCAGTTCACTACCTACATAAAAACCATAAGTCTAAATCAAACAAATGTTCATTTACACTTTTTTTAAATTTCTCACCTATAATGCACAACATAGGAAGGCTATCATATAACAGTATTATACAAATTATACAAATGATAACAAATGTCTCTTGTAGTAGTTGTCTTCTTCGTCCTTTTCTTGCAGATCGTGGTTCTCCGAAAGGGTTGAAGTAATATCCATTATTTGCACTAGGTTCATCAAAAGTTCATACCATCACATATATGGATGATGCAGGCATTGTTACTGGTTCCCAATCATAGAATGGGAATATGAATATGTTCAATCAGCATTTGGCAGTGCATAGTCTCTAGAACAATGTAAAGTTGAGATTGTGAGTCATTCTTCATGGCCTTTCTCAATGTGCAGAGGCTTCACAAAACTGCACAATAATTAACATCAGTATAGAGTACTTGTCTCTGTTCATAATCCTTAATTTGTATTGTCAATATTTTAAGTGGCTTCCAATGTCATGTCAGTTCATAGGATTCTCCAAATAGTTGAACACACTTTAATCGAAAGTCAATCATGATAGTGTTCATCTGTTCACATTACTTTCAGTCAGCAGAGTGTACAATGTTCATTTAGTTGAAGGTCATCACTTCACACTGGACTGGAATAAGAAATGTTACAGTCCTGGAAATAAGACTGGTTAATTACAGGTAAATTTTGAATATCACATAATATGATGTGAATTGGCCAAAAATAAAGGGTTATCAAATGAGATTGAATCAATCAAATGTATCTTCAAGATATATCCTTTCACAAACAGTTTCCAATTGGAAGGATTCAGATAATATCTCATAACATTTGTACTGGGAATGATTCAAATTCAGTCACCATTGCCCTTTTAGTACAAAGGCAGTAGGGAGGGAGGCGAGGTAGGATTCAAACTTGATGGGAACATCCATTGCAGTGGATGGGGTCACAAGCTGGGACAGTAGCTTGAAAGTGGAACTGGGGGTATGAGAGGAACCTACAAAGTCAGTAGTAGGGAAACACTTCAATGAAGCAAATGGACAGAGCTCTTGTCCATCGTGGCACTCACCCCCAGGGGGTCACAAGTTGATCCACCTCATTTAAACAGAAGCAGGGACAAAACTATAATATTGCAATGTCCTTTGGATTCCAATATACCTGTTACCCCAAGCGTAAACAGGCTTCATGTCTGTAAACATTGGTTGATCAGGCCAATGTTCACAATGAACCCCATTGCTTGAGTAAAGCAGGTCACTGGTAATCAATAACATATCAACAAATAAATAGTCCCCTGTCTGATGACAAGTCATCACTACCACTGAGCAAAGTGTTTAAAGCTTAACAAGAATCGAAGCTCCAACAGCTCATATGGTAGTCATAGATGGGAAACATCAGGAATGGAACAGAAATACTTCAGGAAAGAAAAATTAGTTTTCTTTCTTACATTCACATAAGTAAGCATACATTTTCTCACTGAGAAAACTGGCTTACATGAACATTAAAGTAGATCAAGGGAAATAAGTATAAAGATAAAGTCATCAGGTAATAAACACAAATTGTTTCACCAGCCACTCTTTGGAGTGATATAATGTATCTATGGTGGCTTGGACTTACAATACAGATACATTCACA